TGAATATGATGGAGATGTTTGTTTTGTTGATTTAGGTGTATTATATAATCCATTATGTGGTGGTAATACAGAAGCTAAACATAAAGCTGTTCGCCAATCACCAACTAGTTTAGAAAATAATCTAAATAGAAATATTATAGTTTTATTTTATGTATAAGTCATTTTTTTTTAGAAAAGAAGAATACCCTTGTCTTTCGGTATGGGATGCTACCTAGAGATAGATTCAATACTTCGATATCTTTCCTACAGCAAATACTAGCTGTACCTCTGGACAGCAGGTGAGTCTGACACAGAGTTCTTGTGCTTCTCATAAACACTAACTATCCACAAGAGCAGATGTATATCACAATGTAGTCGGCATACTATTGGACTGGTGATCCGCGATCAGTGGTTTTTCCAACGTCATTTCATGGCTGGTGGTATTGATGTTTGCACACAGCACTTTATGGATATGTGTCGAACTACGTAGCTACTTAGCTATGGCAGCCATTGTTATACATTAAATACAATTATTTCCAAAAAAAAAAAATATGAATTTAAAGATGAAAAAAACTCAATAGTTTTGTAAACTGTACGTTTACGATACAATCAATTTTAGAGAGTATGTTTATTGTAATGAATAACCTTTGCGTTTTTCATGTGATTCAATCAAAACTGATTTTTCTTCAAGATAAAAATCATAGAACGGTCGAAAAGTACTTTAGAAAATTTTGACTACAACAATACATTCTTTATTGTATGAAACAATAGTAACATTCTAGTAGAGATTATACACAGATCAAGAGAAAAAAGAATTTTTACAAAATTCATGTACTTTAATTTTTCTTTATCTATAAAGTGACCATGATCATCAATCATTTTAATCAATTGATGTAAGAACTTTAACTGAAGATCCATTAAGTGTAAGAATAAAGATCTTTCTTATTATGAATTAGTGAATGAAATAATTGAGAATATTGGCTGATCTATATCCGGCGAAGATGAATCAGCTGTGATGCATGATGATAGAATTTTAATTATATAGTAACTACTTTTTCGACTATTTTACTTAGTATCTATCTGTTATTACTCATCTCTGTAACTACTAGTTACAAATATAAACCGATAGAATAATGAGAAAATTAATAATAAACTATAGATATCTAAAGTCAGCGTTTACTTGACCATTAGGGGTGACACTTTATCTTTATTTCACTTTATTAAAGTAAAGTAAAGTAAAGCAAAATGCTTTACTTTACTGGGTAAAGTAAAGTAATCCTACTTTACTTTACCGGATAAAGTAAAGTTGATCTACTTTACTTTATCGAGTAAAGTAAAGTTGATCTACTTTACTTTATCGAGTAAAGTAAAGTAAAGTAAAGTAAAGTGAAGTGAAGTATCTCTAAC